TTTGTCTTGGATCCTTTAACTTTTTAAAGGTTCTCTGCATTTTCTCCCTTGTATTTTTCTGCGTATTTAAATAAACATTGTTTCCTTCTTTTCTTTTCTTCTCTGTTGCTTTCACAATTGTAAATGTTAGGTACAGTTCTTTCTTTTTTTTCTTATTTGGGATACATTAGAAATAACACATATAAGCACAACTGCATGTTTCTAATAATTCTATATTATTCAGACTGAATGTTTTAATTTTAGGTGTCTATTAATCTAATTTTTATTAATTGCTTAGATATGTATTTATTGAATATATTATTTTGTTCTTAGAATCACAGACAGATTTGCTGAAAACAGGAAATATAAGTGCATCCACACTAGTCTCTGCTTCTGCTGTTTTTCACTTATTAATATCTATATTAATGCTTTTCAGTGATTTCTTGAAGAATTTATTTGCCTTGCTTTGCATGTAATTATTCCTTTTTTTTCCTTACCAATTTAATTTTATCAGGTTGTTATTTGCTGGCTTTGAGAATCATGAATAAGGCAACATTCGAGTACTGTCTGAAAAGATAAACAATATCTAAACATGCAGAGGTGAGATAGGGAGACAATCCCAAGTAGTGGGGAAAGCAAAAGCAAAACACAGAGGAATATTCAGATCTCAGAGCATAGAGAGGTGCTGACCAATTATTTGGATATTCTTGAATATGTATGGCTAGATTAAAGCTATCTTCAGAGGAGTTTAAATACCTTTCACGTATTCTGCAACCAATTATGAGCTCATCAAAATTTTTGAATGTGAGAAATGTAATCAGATTCATGCTTTAAAGTTACGAATGTAAATATGGACTATAAAATATATATCAGGGTGAAATTCAAACATGTCAATAAGTTAGCTAGATGGAATGTTTCTAAGGAAATGTAAAAATGCTGGAACTGGAATAGTAAGAAAATAATGAAGAGAGAATTACAGATGACTGAACTGTCAGATCTAGATTACTTGGAGAAAAAAAAAAATCTAGAATTGCATGCTCCTATCATTAATTCAGTTATGAACAATCAGTTTCAAAATCCCATCAGCAGGCCAGTGGCACACACTTGTAATCCCAGCACTTTTGGAAGTCAAGGTGGGTGGATCACTTGAGTCCAGGATTTTGAGAACTGACTGGGCAACATGGTAAAAAACCATCTCTACCAAAAAAAAAAAAAAAAATTAAAAATTAACACATCATGGTGGTGCACACCTGTGCTTCCAGACTTGGGAGGCTCAGGCAGGAGGATCACTTGAGCCTGGGAGGTGAAGGCTGCAGTGAGCCAAGATCATGCCACGGCACTTCAGCCTCGGTGAAAGAGTGAGACCTTACCTCAAAAAAAAAAAAAAAACCTCATCACTTCCTAGAAATGAAAATGCGATGCAGAACTAGAGCAAAGAAGATAATTGAGGCAAACATGATTCTTCAAGTTTATTTTTAATTGAATTTTTTTAATAACATGGAGTCTTGCTATGTTGACCAGGCTGATCTCAAACTCCTGGCCTCAAGTGATTCTCCTACCTTGGCTTCCCAAATTGCTAGGATTACAAGTGTGAGCTAACATACCTGGCTCACATGAATTTTGGGGGTTTTTGTTTTGTTTTTCTCTTAAATCATTTGCTTTTTAAGTTTACCAACTTTAATGACCGCTTTTTGTGCTGCAGGCACTACACTGGAGATGGAGATGAAGCAGTCATCATCCTAGTTCTTGCAGTGCCCAGTGTAGAAAGATCACATTCAATGAAACCAAACTAATTTTGAGGTAAGTATAAGAAATTGAGTGTTTTTTTAATCTAAGATGACTGCCCTCTTAAGGATCAAAACAGAGTCTTGATTCTATATATGGGCTCCAGAACTGTTAAGTAACATTTGTAAAAATAATCATATGTACATTATTCTGATATGCAGAGCCATAAATTTTATCAGCTAATGATACTGGTATACATTCCCATAAAAATTAAAATCAATTAGAGTAGAATGAATAGAATGAAATAAATCTTTGAAAAGAGTACATCATGAATATCTATAGATAAATATATATTATTATTATTATTATATTTTATTTGGTTGTTTTTGAGACAGAGTTTCATTCTTGTAGCCCAGGCTGGAGTGCAATGAGCAATCTCGGCTCACTGCAACGTCCTCTTCCCAGGTTCAAGCAATTCTCCAGCCTCAGCCTCCCGAATAACTAGGACCACAGCCATCCTCACACCCGGCTAATTTTTTGTATTTTTAGTAGAGACAGGGTTTCACCATGTTGGCCAGACTGGTTCTCAAACCGTTGACCTCAAGTGATCCACCTGCCTCGGCCTCCCAAAGTGCTGGGATTACAGGGGTGAGGCACTGCACCCGGCTTATATGGTTTTTCTTTAAAAAATTTAAAAAAAAAACAAGAACTAGAGAAATTATAATCAGAGTTAAAATAATTAAAACAATTCATTAACACAGAATACAAAAGAAGGAGAAAGTTTCAAGAAGGAAGGGACTGACAAATGCTGCAGACAGGTCCATAGTTTTGAAGACAGAGCAATTGCAACTACAAAAAACATTATCTTCTGTAGACAGAAGAAAGGACAGTGGTTTATTAGAGTAAAAAATAAAAGTAGTAAATACGTTCAAGAAGTCAGTATCGGTTCACTTTTGACCTTCAAACTGTGCTACTACCAAATTATAAATAATACGTGTTTTCTTTTAATTTCTATCATAAGGAATTTTGTTTGTTTTATTGTGGTAGGAAGTTCATCCTGTATCAAAATGAGTACCACCTGAGGATAACTTTACTGACTTACAATACATAGTTGAGGGTTTCTTTTTATATTTTGTCTTTATTGTAAGAATTTGAACCATAGAGTCTGGTCAACTTAGGCTCAAAATTCAAATTTTGTCATATCTGGTTATGTAAACTTAGAAAAATTACTCTAAAATCATTTTTCTCATATGAAGACAAAAATATGCCTATTTATTTTGCTGTTTATTGAAATTAAATGATACAATGCTTGTAGGATTATATTTTTCAATATATAATTGCTATACTTTTACCAGTTTCTAATTACTAATTCTTTTTGAGATATTAATATTATAAAATTAATTAGCTATATATATATATAATACATATAAAATGTATGTGTATGAGGGAAAATAACAAGAGGCATCTCACGGCCTGATGGGAGGTTAGAAAAGGAGCCCAGAGTGAGTGACAAAGAGTCATTCATCAGTAAAAATGGACAAATAATGGAGATGCTGGAGCAGCAAAATATTGATTTACATTAAAGCATATTTCAATATAGTTTGTAAAATCAAGTGCACTGGAAGTTTTTTTTGTTTGTTTTTTTGAGATGGAGTCTCACTCTGTCTCCCAGGCTGGCGTGCAGTGGCGCAATCTCGGCTCACTGCAATCTCCGTCTCCCAGGTTCAAGTGATTCTCCCGCCTCATTTTGGGTTTTGGTTGTATTAGTAGCTGGGACTAACAGGCAAGCGCAACCACGCCCAGCTAAGTTTTGTATTTTTGGTAGAGACGGGGTTTCACCATGTTGGCCAGGATGGTTTTGATCTCCTGACCTCGTGATCTGCCCACCTTGGCCTCCCAAAGTGCTGGGATTACAGGCATGAGCCACCACCCCCAGCCTGGAATTCTTTATCTGTTTGGTTTTATAAGTGGTGAAAGAATATGGTGTCATGCTTTCCATAACACAACAAATTTCAAGTTATTTATTACTTTAAAATGATATCAATGTTAGTAGGATCCCATCTAGTCTAAAGGGTTTTGAAAGGGGCACTCAATGTATTTTGATTTTCATGATCTCTTTCTGGGTACTACAGTAGCCATTACAACTTGTTATGTGTATAGTCTGCAGCGTGGAAAGGCAAACACCTACTGAATTTGAAATGGTTGATCTAAATGTAATATTTACAGATGGTGATTGCTTAATCTTGTTAGCCTGGACAATAGTTCTTACTGTGCTTTCAAAGTTTATATCAGATATTAGAGAAATATTTTAATTATTTGTGGCAAATAATTAACTTATAATATTGAAGTTAAGTTGCTAAGCAACTAAACTGTCAAGTTGCTAAGTAAGCAAATAATACATATTGTAGACCTCCTATAAATTGAGGAAGAACAAAAATGATAGTGATTACCAAGAAAAAGATAGTAATAGTAATAATAATTAATAATAATTGTTACAATTATTAATAAGCCATGTGTCAGGTCTTGTTTTAAGTGATATGCAAGGACCACATTGGATCCAAAAGCACGATGAAATAAATAGCTTTCTAACATCCCTTTTTTATATAGAAAGACAGTGAGATACAAAATGTTTAAGCAACTTGGCATAAATCTCTGAGACATAGAGTGTAGGAGAAAAGAGAAAGTGGTAAGTAATCTCCAAATATAACCACTAATTCCTTCTATGGCCATGTGAGCATATTGTTCCTCACATCAAGAGATAAATTCTATTTCCTGTTCTCTTGAATGTGAGTTATTCTTGTCACTTTTTTTTTATATTAAATGCAGTGCAAATGACATACTTGGGCTTCTTGAGCCCAGAACATAGTGGATTCTGCTTCTCCCTTTTGAATTCAGTCTCCTTTGTATAAGGAAAACCAGGCTAGACCTTGAATGATTAGAAGCCATATATGTGGGATCCTGGAAGATGAAAGCCACCTTGCATATTTTCACACCACCTGAGTTGCCAGCTGAATGGAGCTTCATAAGGGACTGACCTCCAGCAAAATCTACAGAAGAATTACCCAGTTGAGCCCAAGAGAATCCACAAAAATCTGAAAAAAATCATAAACCATTATATTAAAGCACCAAATTAGTAAATGATTGTTAGGCAATTGACAACTAACGCAGGTATTGAAACCTATAGTTAACATGCCAATATAACCAAAATCCATAACATCTTTCAGTGATTTAGAGGAGAGTTATTCCTGCTGGAAGTGTTAATTGTAAAATGCGTCTCCACTTGGCAAAAAAGCAGACCTTGCTCTGAGCTGATGCAACCTCATGCCAATGCACAAATTACAAGAAGCTTGCAATCCCTGTTTTATTCAGTACAAGCAACTCTTCCTGTCTTCTTACCGAGGTAAAACTTACACAACTTTAAATGCTGAGAAAAATGTCAGAATTTGTAAATGGGGAAAATACTGTGACAAATATTCAGTCTTCTGTGATTGTAAGAGCTGAAATTCTGAAAGCAGGTGAAGAATACAGATGACGAGGGTTATGTATGATGGGTAGCCATGACTTAAGCTTCAAAAAAAATTTTTCCAGAGTCACAAGAGGATGTGAGAGGAACGATCTGCAAGCAGCAGGAGCAAGATCTTGAGATGTGTCCATCAATGCTACATGAGTAGCTGCACGTGTTTTCTTTCTTTCTTTCTTTTTTTTTTTTTTTTTTTTTTGAGATGAAGTTTCACTCTTGTTGCCCAGGCTGGAGTGCACTGGTGTGATCTCGGCTCACTGCAACCTGGGCCTCCCAGGTTCAAGCGATTCTCCTGCCTCAGCCTCTCAAGTAGCTGGGATTACAGGCATGTGTCACCATGCCAGCTATTTTTTGTAATTTTAGTAGAGACAGTGTTTCTCCATGTTGGTCAAGCTGGTCTCGAACTCCTGACCTTAGGTGATCCGCCCGCCTCGGCCTCCCAAAGTGCTGGGATTACAGGCATGAGCCACCGTGCCCGGCTTTTGCATGTGTTTTCTTATCACTCTGACTCCAAACCATTTCCATACACATTCAGTCTTGATCAATAATTTTACTTCCTAACATTTTTAACAATTTATCAATTGTTTTAGAATAAAGTGCCATCACTCTATTTTAATTCTGAGGTATTGCTCCTCACAAGAGGGTGTTAGCTGCAGGGGTCTGCCCGCAGACCCTGACCCAAATGATGGATGAATAAAACGTACACTGACACACAGATATTCTGCTTCGCCAGTCCTGCTGAGTGTCTGACCGCCTGCACACAAAGAGAGGTTTGTCACTGCCACCGGCCCTAAGCAGCTTGCACTCCAGGCATTTATTTGGTATACAATTAACAACAGAAGATTTGAGTAAACACACTTGTGAATAATTAACATGGTTAAGAGAGTAGTTCTAGGAATGATTAAAGCTCAGGTACCATAGTCTAAGGTAAATACCATTAGGGGGCAATATTCTTGGTTGACCTCCCCCCGCCCAGAGAGCCATCTGGCTCAAAGGTTAGTTAATGGAGGTAGGGTAAACAGACGTTAACTGGGGAAGTCTATTGTCCCTAGTATTTACCCTATGACCTAATGCTTGAAGGTAAGAACTGGCTGCCTTCAGCCTGTTCAATTATTGCAAGTTATGTAACCTTTTAGCTTTCCGAAAAGTTTGTGACTATACCCTATAACTTTCCCTAATATTTCCCTTTAATATTTCTGCCACCATCCTGAGTGAATCCCAACATAATTATCTAAATATACTAAACGAACCCTCATTTGAAGGTATTTTCATAGGTCTTGTATACCTATTACATTTTACTACATCTTCTTTCCAACATATCCCTCACATCTCACCCTAAACATTTAAGAAGCAGTATTTGACTTTAACAAGATGAGTTTCACACATTATATGTTATGTTTGTACTTCCCTTACTCTACCCCTTATCACACTTTATGAATGTTACTAGCTTAACATTACTTTTTTCTCCAATGAACTCTAAACTCTGTAAGAAAAGGGATCATGGAAGTCTTGTTTAATGTGTACAGGAATTGATGCACAGGAACTGATGCAGAGAAGTGGAATAAATATTTGTGAAAGAATAAATGAGGGCTGGGTGCGGTGGCTGATCCTTGTAATCCCAGCACTTTGATAGGATGAGGTGGGTGGATCACATGAGGTCAGGAGTTCCAGACCAACCTGGCCAAAATGGCGAAACCATGTCTCTATTAAAAATACCAAAAAATTAGCTGGGTATGGTGGTGGGCATGTGTAATCCCAGGTATTTGGGAGGGTGAGGCAATAGAATCGCTTGAACCTGGGAGTCGGAGGTTGCAGTGAACTGAGATTGTGCCATTGCACTCCAGCCTGGGTGACAGAATAGGACTCCTTCTCAAAAGAAAAAAAAAATACAAGAATAAATGAGTTTCTGATGCTGACTTAACAGAATGAGATATCAGAATGATTTCTACCAAAGAGAGGAATAATTTAAGCATAAAAATAAGAAAAACAAGGTAAACATTATGAGGTAACCAGAACGAGGAAAATAAAGGATTGAGTGCTGAGACCCAAAATGCTGGTGACTCAAGTTACCAAAATGAAAAGAGAATCAAATGCCTCTACTAACCTGGTTCATAAAATGACCTGGATCTCTTCTTTTTCTTCTTCTGTCTCTCTCTCTTTTCTTTCCTTTTCTTTTTTTTTAAACGTAGTCTTGCTCTGTCGCTGGGCTGGAATGCAGTGGCACAATCTAGGCTCACTGCAACCTCCACCTCCCGGGTTCAAGCAATTCTCCTGCCTCAGCTTCCCCTAGTATCTGGAACTATAGGCATGAACCACCACTCCCAAATGATTTTTGTGTTTTTAGAAAAGACAGGGTTTTGCCATGTTGACCAGGCTGGTTTTGAACTCTGACCTCAGGTAATCCACCCGACTCGGCCTCCCAAAATGCTGAGATTACAGGTGTGAGCCACCACGACCAACCGGATCTCTTCTTTAATGGAGAATAAAAGCAGAAAGGATTATAAATCATGCTGCTATAAAGACACATGCACACGTATGTTTATTGCAGCACTATTCACAATAGCAAAGACTTGGAATCAACCCAATGTCCAGCAGTGACAGATTGGATTAAGAAAATGTGGCACATATACACCATGGAATACTATGCAGCCATAAAAAAGGATGAGTTTGTGTCCTTTGTAGAGACATGGATGCAGCTGGAAACCATCATTCTCAGCAAACTATCGCAAGAACAGAAAACCAAACACTGCATGTTCTCACTCATAGGTGGGAATTGAACAATGAGACTACTTGGACACAGGAAGGGGAACATCACACACCGGGGCCTATTGTGGGGAGAGAGGAGGGAGGAGGGATAGCATTAGGAGATATACCTAATTTAATGACGAGTTAATGGGTGCAGTATACCAACATGGCACATGTATACATATGTAACAAACCTGCACGTTGTGCACATGTACCCTAGAACTTAAGTATAATAATAATTAAAAAAAAATAATAGAAAGCCTTATCAGTACACTGGTCTGACATCTATCAGTTTGTAAGCAAGTTTCAGTAGTTTAAAAGACAAAAACTGCATAAATGCATAGTAGAGAGACAGAAATAAAAGAACAAATACAGAGAGTCCCTGACTTATGATGGCTTGACTTACAGTTTTCTAACATTAGGATGGGAAAGTGAAAGACATTCCACAGAAATTATACTTTGAATTTGGATCTTTTCCCAGGCTAGCAATATGCAATGCAATTATTTCTAGTGATGTTGAGCAGTGGTAGTGAGCTTCAGTTCACGAGGGTAAATAACTGACACTGTTCTGTACAGTGCAGTGTGTCAATGAAGTCTATCAGATAATCAATTCTTTATTATGAAACCGGCTTTCTATTAGATTATTTTTCCCAAATATGGGTTAATGTAAGTGTTCTAAGCACATTTAAGGTAGGTTAGGCTAAGCTGTGACATTCAGTAGGTTAGATGTGTTAAATGAATTTTCAACTTAATGATATTTTCAGTTTACGACGGGTTTATCCATTTATAACTTCATGGGAAGTTGAAGAGCATCTGTAGATCAAAAATAAATAAATAACCAAGCAGACAGTTAATTAACCTTAGGGTCATTTATTGATCATATGATGATTAAAACAGAAAAATGGACTAGGTTTCTTCAAGCCTACCAATGTAACAGTTATACATTAAAGTAAGTACAGAAGTTAAAAACAAAAACTTGGGTGATTCTTGACTTTCCTAAATGTTTGATTCTGTATTTCTGATGTGTGAGAATCATAATGGATATCTTATGGGAAAACTGAAGGGTGGAAGGTGCTACTAGATTTTAAAATTTGGGGCTCTGATTCCTAGAGACTGACTTTTGAAACCAGGTCCTGAAATATTACCATCCCACCACATTCATAGAATCATTTCAAATTACTACTGTGTAGGCATAGTTGGGCAGAATCAAATTCAGAATATACACAATATAACATTTCTGTGTGAAAGTACTAAACAATATTAGGACTTACACTGCCTTAAGCAAATAAGTCAAATAAATATAAAGCCCTTAAATAATTTTTGCTTTTAAAAACTATAGATTCATAGAATTTGTAAGCTATACACAATCTTGTAAAAGTTGGGTTTAACTCTTAATAGATGGAACAGTACAGATTATGTCTTCGGCAGTCTGAGACGTGAAAGGCTCTGATACTCGACCATCTAATTCTTGCTTTTAAAAATAATTATTCACAAAGCATTTGACAACTAATAAAAAAAAGAGAGAGAGAGAGAGAGCACCTAGCAAAGTATTCTTACAGGGGCTGGGACTGTCCCTCCAACCACAGTTTTTTCATGTGTAAAGTGGAAATAGTATTGGTTCTTCTATAAAGGTGAGATTTAAATGAAATTATGAACTCGAAAGAAATTTACACAATACCAGAACATAATAATTGTTCCTAAAATAATAACTTTAAAAATAATAAAAAATGGTTGTTAATGGTAATAATTTAGCAATTAATATAAAAAATATTCACATTCCTTTCATTATAGATGCCACTCCCAACCTCCAAGCAATATTCTCAACTCTTTTATACAAACTCATCATTTAACACTTTTATCTTGGATTCCTAGTCTTTGTGCACATGTCTTCTACCTTGACACTTGAAAACTTTTCTGAAATCTACTACCCACATTCATTTTTACTTAAATGTCTTCCTTCTTGCAAGATCAGAGTACATAACTTACATATTAATCACATATTTGACTCCCTGGACATTTTTTTTTTGAACCTACATTGTGTGTTATCCATCAAAGAGTCAAAAAAAAAAAACAAAAACAAAAACAAAAAAAAAAAACAGATGGTGGCCATGGCTAATGGCAATACCATGGATGAAAATCACCATGAAACTTATTAACAGAAATTAATTTATTATTGGATATCATTATTTTGAGGAAGAAATTTAAGATATCTAGAAAGTTAGCCTTGGATGATAACTATGTTTAGGGGCAAGGGATATTTAGAAAATAACAGGAAAAAGGAGCAAAAATATCAAAAAGAAATGATAAAAAGCATGTAAATTGTTAAAGGGTTCAAAGTGGAGAGGTAATGTTTGAAAAGATAATGATATTAAGCACTATTAAATGCTATGGAGATAAAGAAAAGAACTAAAATTTCTATAGATCTTTTTTGTACATTTTTGAATCTATTATTGCATGGACATGTTCATATTTTGTCAGCTTCTAAGTCCAGATTTTCTTTACTTGAGTTTCATGTTTACCTTCTCATTTCTGTCCTCCCTTGTATGTTTGGCCAATAGATGATTGTTTCTGAGATAAAATTTCACGCATTTTATCTTCCTGAAGTTCTAAATGCTTTAGTGGAGTGTTTCTCAAAATGCACCTCCGAGCACACTTGTGTCAGACTCCCCCAAGCTGTAGTGCTTGCTTTAAAAAAAAAAAAAAAAAAATCAGATATCAGGCTCTGTCCTTTATCTAATCTATTAGACTAAGGGACATATCCTCCTGTCTCCTTTTAGTGATAACTTTTTACATACTTTTCTCTGGGTTACGAAATGGGTTACACATACCACAGCAATATGTGTAACCCATTTCGTCTTTTCCCGGGGTCAGTTTCAATAATGCTGGAAAGATGGAAGCTCCAGTGAATCCATGCTTCTTTACTCCTTAGATCCAATTCAATTAATGTCTCACTCGAGGCTTTAAATGCTTGGAGTTTGGAGGCAGATAGCAAGCCTCCTGGCAAAGCTGTGTCCCAGAGGAAGCTTTTCACCTAGAAACTCTTTCTTTCATAATTGCAAATACAAATTTTAAAAAAAGAGGCTTAATTCTCTTGACTGAAAATAGCAAAGGACACTCCATCCTACTTAATTTTCTTACAGCATTTATTTTAGAAAACTTTTGTAGTTGCAATTCCTTTACGTTTTCTCTTTGAAATGTATGGAAATTTTCATGAAAGCTAAATAATCCTCTTGCCAAATTTACGCATAGGAATTTCTTTCTCAAGGAATTTTGTTCTTTTTAATGTAATGAGGGAAGGAAGATGAAGCCTCTATCTCCTAGTTTCTACAGAAGGGTAGGAGCCTAAATTCCATTGGCACCTTCCTCCAAGTTGCAAAACTACCTTTTGTCAAAATATATAAAATATAAGTTATATAAGAAATTTATTTTTCTTTTGGATAAAGCTAATTAGGCAATCAGCTAATACAGATCATCATTATTAAAGAAGAAATACCTGAGTATTTATCTTAATAAACTTGACCAAAAAGAAAAATATAACAACAAAGAAAACCAAAAAGTAAGAAAAGGGAAAAATACAAATAAAATTTGAAATTAATAAAATAGAAAATCAGTAAATTCATTTGAAAGGCAAATACAATTTGAAAGCTTATTTTATTTGATGTGAAGAATATTATAGATAAATGTCTTTTGAGGTTGACTAAGAAAAACAAACAAACATTAGTTTCAATTAAGAAAGATAACATTCAAATATATGGAAGACTATAAAATAATTAAAAGAAAATGTAGCTTTTTACTGTGGAAAAATACACTTGGAAATTTCAAGGATGTTGATGATTTCCCTAAATATTTTAACACTTGCATTGTATCTTCCAAAACCAAAGATATTTAAGCAGTAGCTTTTTTCTTCACAATTCAATTAGCTTTCTTAAATTAAGATTTAGGCATTAATTTAATAGAACATTCTCCCTCGTAGATGCATTTATAACTCTAACATTTCTGAGACAGTCATCTAAAATGATACGTACCTGGGAGACCCAAGGCAAAATAGTTTACCTTCAGGCCTCTTAGGCATCACTCTGTAGGCCTAATGCAAATTAGAATTATGACTCTAGTCTAGATTGGAATTTTGATTAACCTGAGGGAATAAGGCAAAACGGGAAAGATGGAAGTATTTATTGAATATCAACTATATATCAGAAAGTTTTTTATGTATGCTTTCATGTAAATGAATTAATTTGAATTTCACTGCTGAAAAAGATACTGTTGTATAATTTTCCTTTTTCAGATGAAAGACAGAGTTTCAAAAAGGATAACTTTTTCAAATCACCCAGCAGGCAGAGGTGAAGTTCAAACATAGTATGATTAATGTCAAAGGCCATCCCCTTTTCTGTTGTGTAATACCTCACATTGTTCAGGAAAAGGTACAGAATGAGTTCATCAGTTTCATATTTGGTTTATTTGTCTTCTTAGATTTGTTTCCTACAAAACTGTATTCAAGCTGATAGTCTTACCAAACATGTATTTTGGAAAGTAGGAAATTTTTAATGTTATGCACAGGGCTGGGAAGTGGAGAATTCATGAAAAAAAAAAAAAATGGTGGAGTGAATGTGCAGATATATAGACATTAAACACTTTTTATTGAGTAACTATGTATTATATGCTGTTATCATTATTAGTAACAAACACGAAATGAAACTTTAATTCTTTGGTGATAGATATAATAAACTAGTAACAACTGAATAAGAAAAATAATTTCTAATGTTCTGCTGTTTTTTTTTTTTTTTTTTTAAATAATAGTATAGAGTGCAACTGGGGTAGAAGGAGTAGGTGATCATTTGTGGTGGTTTGTTAAGGAAGATCTCTAAGATGAGGTGACTTGAATTGAGAGTTGAATGAAGAGAAAAAGCTTGTTTTGCAAATAAATGTGAAGCCCAGAATTCAAAGATAAATCAGAAAGCAAATATAAAATCCTGAAGCATGATCCAACAAATAAAAAAGCCTGTGCATGGATTTTATTCTATCTTGTGAAGGTGATTAATTGATGCAGATGTGAAATTCTAGAGAGAAAGAGAAAGGGACTGCAGAAGTAACAGTAACTCTTGTTACAATGCAAGTTTCAGTAGAGATGGGGAAAGATGTACTCAGTGTGAATTATACTAGCTTTATATGAGCCTCATAGGCATATTTGCTAAATGTGCTGGTCTTCAAGCATTATGTATGATTAGGCATTTGCCTAAATAATTAATTCAGTGACTACATCTTTCAGAAGTTGTCACAGCTTCTTCAGCCAAAAAGAAAATAAAAAAAGTACACATATACTGGAATGCCATAGATTTGCATTTGTATATATCTTACTGTTGTCTTTTTCCATTGTGTTTTAAAATTATTCAAATAAATCTTAAGTCACTTTTATTCTACTGCTTTTAGGTTTTCAAGAGTTTACAACTTACTCATTTTATGAGTTTAATGTTTATTAAATGAATAAATGAATGTTATGGTGTCATAAAATACTTGTTATTTTTCAGTGATTGAAATTTTACTCTTCAATATGGAAACTTCTACTTTGCCTCCCTAGTATTATACTATTGAAAGACTCCATTCAAGGTAAGAATACTGAAAACTGTAAAGTCTAAAATGGACAGAAAAAACTAAGAATTTTATCATTGGAACTGGATAGCTCAGCCTGTAGGGCAATTTTTTTTTCTTTCGATTGAGATTTTAGAATTGCACTTTGCATAACAGAATCTACCTTCACAAGTCAAACTCCCAGAGTTACAAATTTTCATTTAGTACAAATATTTGCATGGAACCAAGTGCACTCAGGACAAATCTTTATTAGTATGGTCTGTTATGAAAAGGATGCACAAAGTAGAAAGTCTCAGCATTACATTGATGTAGATGAGTCTCTTATTTTCATGATAGTATACCAAACCTCAAAAATCTTCCAATTGCTCTGATGTTATCCCTTGAAGGCAAGCAAGTCCTCAGGGCAAAGCTTATATCATTAGATATGGACTTTGATGTGAACTCTTTTATTTCCGTTCACTTTGTCAACCTTTTCAGTACCTGAGTCTGTAAAATTGCACATTGGGAATGGCTAAAATTAGGCTCCAGAGAGATGCAGCAAAATTAAAGTATTATGCTTATTGCCTCCAGGATAGATTCTGCTTTGCAGATCAACATGCTGTATATCACAATAATAATGGGACTCACGGCGTGGTGGATGGACAGAGGAGCTTTCTCCTGGAGTGGTATTTCTGCAATTTCTAGTGTCAGGTAAAGTTCACAGCATGCTCTGTAGATTCACTGTTATCACAAGCTGTGGTTCAATACAGAATAAGGAGTGTTATTTATTATGAAGACCACCACAAGTCATCTTGCAGCAGACCATTCCAAAGTACTGGTCAAGATAGTCATTGGCTTATTCCCCTTTATAGCCTTGAAGACTCCTGAACAGCCAGAATACATTTAATTTATATTATCTCTCTTAAAAAATCCAAATAAAAATTTTCCGTGTTCTTAAATTAATCCCATCTGGATACCTCTGTGTGCATCTTCCTTAGAACATAAATTTCACATTGCTGCAACACATGAAACATGTATCTCTTGGCAAGTCATAGTGTTACTTTTTTTGACAGTCTGTGCCAGCTTGCAATTTGATGTTGCTACTAAAAATTAGAGATGGGCATGTCTGTTATTAACACTGCCTCAAATGTGAAAGTGAAATTATGACTGTATGTTGTCACTGACAAATTATCTTATGCCAAGAGGTATTATAAAAGGGGATAGAATACACTATAATAATACATTGGTGAAAAAGACGAAGATTATGGTGAAATATTTGTGTTTACCTTCTTAAAATGGAAGGAACACAATTGTCTGGATTGTCTAGATCTTTGATAAAGAAAACATTCTAGTGCAGTGTACCAAAACAAATGCAATAATGTCATACATGTAATAATGTGATATAACAATACTTTAAAGAAAAGGCAATAAACTCAGGCCAAACTTGAAGACTTTTGTTATTGTGAAATTTCTGCCCAGATGAGCTGTTTCACTATTTTCCTACATGTTTTAAGCCCTTTGCCAGTTTGTTCACTCTACTATAGCCTCACAAGCCTTTTATCTGTTGGATCATGTCCCAAGACTTTTTTAGTTTCTTCATTATTTATTTTTAAACTCTCTACTACCCATATACTTACAAGACCAGCCTCTTCTTTTTATTCAAGTCTCATCCAGAAATCTTTAGTTCATCTAGGAAATCCACAAAAATCTGTCATCCCTCTTCTCACCCTAGATGCACTCTATTTATATTTATGGCAATGAACAAGGCAGGCAGAACTCCACAAACCATGGAGTTTTTGTTACACTGGGTAGAGACAATAAGCTAGTAAGCAAATGCATGAAGAGCATAATTTCAGATTTCTGTGTGAACTTTAAAAAGCATAAAACAAGATATTGTGGGTCAACAGAGGTGGGAGAAGAGGATGGTTATTTAATATGTATTATAACTTATAGATGAAAACTTTAAATATGAATATGCAAGTAGAATAATCTCTACATAATCACAAAGTTATATTTACAACTCCTGAATGGAAGAATGATCAGATAGCAATCGGGTAATTTTGTTGTATGTGTCCCATTCTCCTCAAATGTAAATATTTGAATATCTTTTTACAGGTTCTACTTAATATCTCTCACAAGAAAAGAAGAAATGCCTCTGCCTTTTAATGTTCTGGGAATAGAATAAAGAAGACAGAGGTGGACCCAGCAAGGAGTATAGCAATTTCTAAGTGTCTCCTTAATAGTCCAACACTTCACTCACACAACAATGTTATGTAGTTTCATTAAATGATGAGTCCAGCCCCTTTCTTCTGCAGAAAATGTCAGTTCACTGTTCCTTGCCTATAAAATAGAAATTAGAGAGATGCCAGCTTTTCTAGCCGGACTACAAAATTACTTTAACTAAATCCCTAAAAAATCAGCCTCACTACCAGTTTCCACAATACCTCTGGACTGGTAACTTTAAGCTCTGTTTGTACTTTTCAGGAATCCAATGAGCAAACAACTGTTTCTCTAAGGCAATTCTCTCTTCAGCCCATGGTGTTGTAGGTCCTTTCAGTCTGCTAAGAAAGTCATCATTCCTCTAGCTGACGTCCATCTTCCCCAACATGGATTAACATTTATTATTTACACGTGTTTCCTTTCTCATTCACTTCATTCCTATGGGATTATGCCCTCCTTCCTTTGTTTTCTTACAGATAAAAATCCCCTTACTTTTATTTCAATGATGTTGGGAAAGTGTCATAAATACAGGTAGTCAATGTGCTCTGCTCCTTGAACTTTTAAATCAATGATTAAAAACAGCATCATGATAAATTATAAGAAAATAATATATTCAGATGATATTATTTCCTTTGGCATAATGATTGTGATTTGCACTTAAAAATGATTACTTGTGGAAAGATTTTCATATGCCTTACAAATGATCTAGAGCTTATGTGAAAAATTTTATGTGTACAGTTAAAAATAATTTTGTGTATATCAACTTAAGGACATGTATTAATTTAGATACCTGAGTGTCTATTTGCATATAACAATTCAATTTATTTGCAGAAATAAAACATTTAAGGAATAAAGCTTAATAGCTTTCCTTTATAAAAATGAACTATATTTCAAACTCTGAATGAATATTAACTTTTAAAATTTCAACATAATCATCATGCTTTGTTTTTAATATTGCTCTCTAATTTACAGTTATCTCCTTTCAGTGAAGTGACACAAATTCAATTAAGGAATTGAGTACTTTTATCAAATGACAAGATTTTTAGATTTGAAAAACAGGACCGCCAGTGTGTTATTCGGGGAAATAAAAAATAGGTGTCATTTTATCATCATTCATTATTAAACTGTTAATTAAAAATGTTTTTTTTCCTAAAGCATATTTGCATTTAACCCTGTTACATTAATTTTGAATTTGAGAAATAGCTGAACATTGTTATGCAAGGTGGTAACTCTCAAAAGTTTTGTGACCTAGTTTGCCTAAAAGTCACATATTCAGGATTGAGTAGAAGTCTTAGAATCTATGGACAGAAATTCAAGAAAGAAACAAACTTAGAAATGTCATTTCTCAGCACAGAAAGAACTAATTTTATGGAAGTCAATAATACTAAGATTTCTAAAATCAGTATTTTTAGGAATGTGATAAGAAGGTAGTAATTACTCTCCGTAATACTGTTCACATTTGTATTAACCTCAATGTGAATCAATCAAACACCCAAATAACCAAAATAGAATTACTGATAGATCATTTGTTTTGACTTTTCAAAACAAAGCTTGATTAATGGAAACAATCAGTGAATAAGAATTGAAGTCATTGATATGACATCACATCTTTAAACTGCTTTATTTATTGATTTAATGTATTGTCTCTACTATGTGCCAGATACATTTTTAGGCACAAAGAAACAGTTATTAAGGTTAGCAGCTTCCCTGATCTCACATAGGTTACAAGTTTATACAAGTAGGTTATGATCATAAAAGAAACATCCATATTACTCATTTGAATATTTAAAGATTCTTGTCTACAGTGAATATAATTTCTTTTACTACTTCACACAAGAATTATAATAAAATGATTATTGATGTTTTTTGAAAGCTAGAAAAGCTGCTTGAAATACACAATTGTAGTTTGGTACAATTATATAGGTGTGTGTGTGTGGCTACAAAGCAGGGGTGCTTTTTTAAAATAAAAGAATCAAGAATTTTAAATTGTAAGGCAGCATTTTACTTCAAAGCAGTCATTTTTAAGAAATGTAGAAATATTCTGATTATCTGCCTTTGTAAGTCTGAATTCCTAAGAAAACAGGTAAGAGTGAAAAGAAAGTGAACTAGGAAAAGAAAAAAAAAAAAATATATATATATATATATATATATGTATATGTATAATGACACACTAATGAGCTGGTCATAGCTTCACAAAACCCTGCTAATGATAGATCATGTGGGACATCTCCAGTGAGACCACATGGAATCCCTGCATCTCCAAACACGAGAGAGGAGGGGCAATCAGTTTAACTTTCATATCTTTCTGGAATGCAGCCTCTCACTAGTCAGTGTCTCCTAGGGGATCTTAACTTCCCTGAATTTCTAGGTTCTTGAACTGACCTTTCCTGGCAGCCATTAGGGAAGCCAATGCATCATCCTCAATGCACCCCTCCTGCTGTAGAGTACACACTGAGTTTGCTTGTTATTGAACATAACTAAGAATCCTAGGTCTGCAGAACCATTGTGGCATCGGTGGCCGGGTCTTCACAGCTATGGAAATGAGCCATTCTGCCAGGAAACAGAACAAGTTGCCTAGAGAAGGAAAGGTGGAGGGGTGTGCAGGGCCCTAGTAGTATACATAAACAAAGTCCACTACTGCTTCTGTATTTCTCTCTCACTAGACTGTAAGAGAGATATAGTTGGATTCTTGATATATTATTCTCTGCATTTAACTGCAAAGTATTTTGTGTATTTTCAAAATTAAACCACTTATCATACTGAAATATTAACATTTATAATGACATTAAAAACATTAATTACAGCTGAAGATGGAAAATACAAAAAATTACACTGTAAAGAGCAATCAGTTAATTGGTTATATCACTATCAGTATTTTAAAATAACCTCACTTTCTAATTTTAAAACACACACGTGTATTTATAAACAAAGGAAAGTTACAATTTGATAGTATATACCAAGTTAGCTTTTATTCCTTAGCATGTTATTTTTGTTTTTACCTCTAACAAGCTAAAGTATCACATTGATTTTTTTCCAACAGTCTTCTTGCCCAAAAGATATTTCAGTCCCTTACACAAATTTGTAATAAGACTCTTTGGCTACTGTAGAGTCACATGTGAAATTACGCTAGTGCTTTCTTAAAAAAATATTTGTCCACTTCTCTGAACAAAAAGTAATAATACCATTCCCAGATTGTAACTTTTAATTTTTTCCTTCTTATACTATATAAATTGACTAATATCACAGTTCATCTAGTCAATGTACAATCTACGTCAGTTGTTTATTGTTCAGCAACTCTCTACTTAGACACCTGAGACTTGATAAATAGAAAACAGATGGAAACAAAATAACGTTTTAAGAATGCTTTTTATATTTGTGTACTGATCACTATCTTTATACTTTTTAAAAAGATAAATCAGCAAAAGTAATATACAGCAATACTTAATGCAGTTTTTTAATACCAATAAGGAAAAAAATCCAATATTCC